CTGGAGTTTCTTCATGCAAATGCTTAGAGGAAGTTGTGTGCCTGGAACAACATAGACATTCAATTAAAAAATACATTATGTGTCAATTACAAAATCTATCAAACAAAATACAAATCTGGAGCTCTCTGTGTTTCCCTTGATAACTCATTGAATCCTCTTACTGCCATGATCCTCATTTTCCAAAGGACAGATTAAGATGCACAGAGGTTAAGCAATTTGCCCAAGCTCCTACAAATAGTAAGTTATATGGCTGGATTTTATTCCAAAAAGCCTAACACCCAAATCTGTTAGATTTGCTCTTAATGTCTCCCAGAACTGCTTCTCAATAAATATTTGTGGATTATTGAATTGAGTATCTAATGCTGTGACTTTTTATGGTAGAATACTGTGTTTGCCTATGCAAGGGGTTTGGGAAGCAAAGCTGTTGAAAGCTTTTCTGGCATCTCTTTTATTGTCTATAATATTGGTAGAATGACCACATCTGCTCTTAAAAATAGCAGTGCCCCAAATCTACCCTCTCCTGCATATTCTCTTATTTTTTTTTAATAGGACTTGTCACCATCTAAATTGATTTTATTTGTTGTTTTGTGTGCCACTACCACTGGAGTGTAGGCTCCATAATAGCAAGGACTTTGCTACTGTACATTCCCCAGCATAGGACGTGGTTGGGCACAAAGTAGGTGGTCAAATGTAGATATGAATTTGTTTAATTAATGAAGAGAATTAATACCAATGAAGTTCATTGGTGCTTCAGCTTGGGCATCTAAAACCCTTGAGCCTTTCAAAGGGATTGCCGATCCGTGCTACACTTGCCTCACTGGGGCATCAGTGGTTTAGGGAGTTACAATGCCCAGGCTGAACTCTTCTAGTTTTTAATGATGTATGGAGAATTCTTTTGCTTGAAGTTAATGAGAAAGGCCTCTTACTTCCTTACAAAATATGCTGCAGGCTTTCCAGAATCCTGTGTGCTCTTGAAAATCTCCTCTACTCCTTTCAAATCTGAATTTGATAGGTTTCTGCCATGCATAAGGAGCTGGTGCCTGTATTCAGTTTTTATTGCCCATATACCTTATTGTAGGTACTTGATTTGGGGGGGAAAACCTTATATGTCCAGGTAGGCTACAGAGTCAAAGAGGCTTGTCCAAAGTGTTATTTGTGGTAGGTGAGTGACATTGCATCAGCATGTTTTTCTTTTTTATTGGCCTTTGGTCATCAGGCTTTTATGATTTGTTGAATCATAAAATACATGTAACCTGTAAACCTGCTTTACTCAGTTTGTTTGAGTTTATTTGGATGCATTTGCTCGTGATGATTAAGAGTGTGGCCCCCAACTCCAAAAGACTTGAGTTCAAATTGTGGTTCTGTCACATTCTCTCAACCACTGTATCAATTAAGACTGGAATTTGTTGGCATATAGTGGCTTTGACAGTTTCATTTTTTGCTCAGGCAAGTAAGTCCAGAAGTCATTAGGGCCCCAAGAAACTTCTGCCCACTATGTGTAGACTTTAAGCTCATGGTCCAATATTGGTACCAGAGCTTCTGCCATCACTTCTGCATTCCAGATAGCTGGATGGAGAAAGGGCAGAAGAAGAGTGTGCTTCTTTCCTGGAAGACTTCTGAGACTTACTGATTACATCTCATGTACTAGAATTTGATCATACTGCCATACCTAGTTGCAAAGGAAACTGAGGAATATAATTTTTTAACTAAGAAACAGACTTGTCTGCGACTACACTTGGCCATTTCTTCATATACCGATCTCTCTCTGGGTCTACTTCTCTTGGGGTTATTAGCAGGGTTGTTATTCTCCTCTGCTTTGCATAGCTTTTGTTTTTTGTATAGTTTCATTTTATTCATACTCATGGCTTTGTACATTTAGATTGCCATGATTCTTCATGGTTATGAAGTTATTTAATAGCTTTGCTTTTTGTATTCCATCAGTTTTATTTTGCACTATGGACTGCTTCATCTTTTCAGTATTTTTCAACTCAATTCGGGAGAAAGAGAATATGATTAGGCTAACCTGGCTGTTCATATTAGGTCATACCATCATTGTTGGTCAGCTGCTAAGGCTAAACTGCCTGCTAGTTCAATCAGCTGTGGAATCTTGCTGATGGGCTTTTGTATCTAAAAGGATGGGGAGGCAAAACAGACTCTATCATGTGACCATGCTAAGTCCCTGACACATAGAAATTCCTTTGGCAGGGAGTTAGAGATAAGTCTTAAAATGAGGATGTTTTGTATATTGATGTGAATGCATTTTAAGTAGTGTGTAGATTGTCAGTAGTTATAAATAATTGATATTGAATTGAGAAGCAGTTATTTGCAAAGATTAGGAAGGTGTTTAGGGCATGTATTAGCAGCCCATCAGATGCATGCATATTATGGGATGTTTCTTGCTTTCACTTTTATCTGGAATCCCCTTTTCTTCTGTGTTCCTTGGAACTTGATTAATTCTCAATCTTTTAAGACTCAAAATTCAGGAGATGTTTCAGAGGCTTTCCTGACATGGCTATAAGAATGACTTCAGTGCCTCTACTCTGTTTCCCTAAAGCCCTTTGTGCATACCCCTTATTGTGCTGAACACATTTACATTGTGCTCGTCTGGCACAGGTATGTTTAATTACTGCTTTCTCCTGAGCTGGAGGATCACTTACTTCAGGGTTTGGTCTTCTTTATCTTTGAATACTTAACACTTACCTAGAAGTGCTTGCCACATTAAAGATGCTCTGGGACAGGTACAGTGGCTCATTCCTGCAATCCCAGCACTTTGGGAGGCCAAGGTGAGAAGACCACTGAAGCCCAGGAATTTGAGTCTAGCCTTGGCAAAATAGTGAGAATTCATCTCTACAGAAAAATAAATAAATAAACAAAATTAGCTGGGTGTGGTGAAGTGCACCTGTAGTCCTAGCTATTTGGGAGACTGAGGTGGGAGGCTTGCTTGAGTCTGGGAGGTCCAGGCAGCAGTGAGCCAAGATTGTGCCACTGCACTCCAGCCTGGGTGACAGAGTGAGACCCTGTCTCATTTTTGTTTTTTAAACCTTGCAAATTTTTTGTGTTTTCTTTTCTTTCTTTGGATCAAGTTTTAAAATTCCCAGTGCTTGGTCAAAAGTGAAGGAATAAATTCTCCAAGATAAGTGATACTCTGGTAAATTACAAGGGGATTTGTTTCTCTCTTTCCATACTTTTTAATCAGAATTTTTCAGAATGAGAACTATTCTTACCTTCAGCATTTCAGCCAAATTCTGCTTTTATCTGGATATTACATGTGATCTTTAGTGGTTTTGTAGAAGATGGGCTAACATTTTACAAGGTGAAATTGGTAACTTTTGATATGATCATTTATGCTTTCATTTGGTTATTTTTGCTAGATGACTTTTCAAATCTTAGGTTATTTCTGTTAGATGGCCTTTCAAATCTTTGTGGCTGAATTTCACAAAGAGATCATGTGCTGATGAGGATGATTGTCATTTTTTAATAGGGAAGGGAATGATTCCTTTTGGAATTACTGATTGAACTATTACATGGTTCATCCATGGACATTTGTAGATTGCTTGGGAAGTATAGATGCTCTTGGGATGCTGTTGGCACTGTTATCACTGAAAACATTTTTAGAAAATATTGAGAGGCCAATTTTATTAAGTTTGCTTTAGATTGCAAATGTTTCTCTTTGGGTGGATTATCATCATCCTTTTTCCTAAGTTGAAGAAGCTATAACATATATGTTGAGGAGCAAAATACTCTACATTTTGTAAATAAATCCTCATTTTATTTTGTACTTAGGTTTTTTTTTTTTTTTTTTTTTTTTTTTTTTTTTTTTTTTTTTTTTTGTGACTCAGTCTTGCTCTGTTGCCAGGCCGGAGTGCAGTGGCACGATCTCAGCTCCCTGCAACCTCCACCTCCCAGGTTCAAAAGATTCTCCTGCCTCAGCCTCCCGAGTAGCTAGGACTACAGGCACGTGCCGCCACACCCAGATAATTTTTTATTTTTAGTAGAGACGGGGTTTCACCATATTGGCTAGGATGATCTCTATCTCTTGACCTCATGATTCGTCCACATCGGCCTCCCAAAGTGCTGGGATTACAGGTGTGAGCCACCGTGCCCGGCTCATAATTAGGTTTTTTTTTTTTTTTTTAACTTTTTTCTTTTTCCCATTTGGGGAAACTAAGGGAGTTGTTAAATAATGCACTGTTAATGTTTTCAGTGACAATACTAACAGAAGGAGATGCCAGTTCTGAAGTAGGTGGCATTCCCAAGGGTTTATTTCTGATCTGGAGGAGTGACTAAAGCATAATTGTCAGACGACCTTTACTCAGAGAGGATTCCCCCCACGTGGCACAGTGTTGCCCCCATGTACTTTGGAACAGGTCGTCACTCTCTGTATCCCCCATTTACTACATCTTTGCTTTCAGCCCATTTATCTGCTATTGAGAGGAAATGCTGGATCTTTGTTAATCTTATTTGGAAATAGATGATCGAAGCCAGGGCCTCATTCGAAGGGGCTTTACTGCTTCCCTATACCCTTTCTTGTTTTACCAGTCTTAACATAAGACTTACAGGACTCTGAAGAATTGGCTTGACTGTTTTAACTTTGTTATTTTCATCAAGCAGAATTATAGAGAAGATAATAGAACTGTCATCTTGTTTTGTATCAGGATGAGGGATTGCACAGGATCCCAAAATTAGAGCTGTCAATTATATTAAGTATAAAAAATAGCTCTTTGAAAGAAAATTGTGTTTTTAACCCTCTGATGGAACTCAGATTATACCTTGATATCATTTTTTTGGGACTGTATAGTAAATAATACTTATTTTCTGCCATCTTGTTGAAGTTTTGTTTTCTCCTTTATTTTCATGCTTACCTTTGAAATTTCTTAGGGAAAACAACACTAAACTGTAAGTAATCACATTAATTTCAAATTTAGTGTTCTTTTTTTTTCTGTCATAGGTATTTTTTTTCTATAGACCTCTCTCAAACAGATTTTAACTAATCTGTCTTGTTTTTGACATCTTTTTTGCTCATTTATTAGATGAGGCAGCAAAGATGAGATTTGTTGTTGAAATAATATTCTTGAGTTCTTTCTCAGGCAAGTCTAGATGTAGATTTGTGAATACCGCTGTAGAGGCTACTGGGTTAGAATTTATCTGCCATAGAAACTCATTCATTCATTCATTAATTCATTTGAGATGGAATCTTGCTCTGTTGCCCAGGTTGGAGTGGAGTGGTGGGATCTCTGCTTACTGCAACCTCTGCCTCCCAGGTTCACGTGATTCTCCTGCCTCAGCCTCCTGAGTAGCTGGGATTACAGGCACCTGCCACTCCACCCAGCTAATTTTTCTATTTTTAGTAGAGATGGGGGTCTTGAACTCCTGACCTCAAGCGATCCACTCATCTCAGCAAGTGCTGGGATTATAGGTGTGAGCCACCGCACCTGGCTGAAACTCATTCTTTTATTGGGAATAATTAATTACTTATCCTTCATTCCAAGGTATGCCTATGTCTCACGAGTTTATAGTTAAAATAGTTTCTTGCAAACTATTTTATACATCATCTATACAGGGAAATAGTATAATTATTTAAAATTTATTACTAGTTCATATACTGTGATCAAAGGAAGTTTGGTTATGCTTTTAAATATCTCTGTGTATCCAACTCCTAGTAATTAGAGGGAAGAGGCCATTGTTGAGAATGTTATTGTTAGAATGAATTTGGAGCTGGGGCAATAGACATGCCACCTGGTCTGAGGTTGGATGTTCAAGGATAAGGCAGTATTTGTAAGGATTAGAGGTTAGAGAGAATGAGGTAATATGGTTAGTCAGAAAAGAAGTTACACAAAATAAATTGAGGGTTTTCAGGGTAATAATTTTAGCAAACCCAACAACAATACTTGTACATTTTGGGACTATGAGAAGGAAGGAGTGGAAAGTAGGTTTTTAGTAACTAAAGAGTAAACATTTCTCCCTCTTTAAAATATAAAGCTCACAAAAAGAGTTATTCTCTCATGATAGATGCTAGAGCCCTTTCACATGGCACTGGGGATACCTACTTTTTAAAAACAAATGTTGCTCTGTATTGGTTAGGATTAGGTTAGGCTGTGAGAGACACATAAAATATTTAAACCATTTAGAGGGCTGGGTGCAGGTGGCTCATGCCTGTAATCCCAGTATTTTGGGAGGCTGAGGCAGGTGGATCATTTGAGTTCGGGAGTTTGAGACCAGCCTGGGAAACATGGTGAACCCCTGTCTCTGCAAAAAGTTAAAAAATTAGCTGGGCATGGTGGCATGCTTCTGTAATCCCAGCTATTTGGGAGGCTCAGGTGGGAGGATCATTTGAGCCCAGGATGTTGAGGAAAAAGTGAGTCCAGATTGCACCACTGTATTCCAGCGTGGATAACCGAGTGAGACCCTGTCTCAGAAAACAAAAAGTTAGAGGTTTCTTTCTATTTCATGTACAAAGTCTGAAAGGAGGGAATGGCAACTCCACTGTCACCTGCATCTCTGGGTTCTCTTATCTGTATGCTGTAGTTCATGTGTCTACTGTTCTCATTGTGCCCTCACAATCCAAGATTGTCACTGGAGCTACATTGAGTCTCCATTACAGCCTGGAAAAGAAGTAGGAAAGGCAGAAGAGCAAAAAGGAGCCCTTCTTAGAGTCAGTTTCCTTTAAGCATCTTTCAGTTAGATCTCATTTTGGAGAACTTAGTTATAGGACAACACTTAGTTCCAAGAAAAGCTGGCAAATCTTTTATTCCAGGTGGTATAAAGTAAGATAGTTATCTTTCAGTTAGGGAAAATAACTTTTCCAGCTTACTCGAAGAGAGTTGTTCGGTCATTCACTACCATGTTATAATGGTACCACCTGAGGTAATTTCCAAAGGTAGATGGGAAGAAGGGTGTTGGACAAGGTAATGAGCATTCTTAGTCTTGGGCTCTGAGGATGCCAGGGCATGGACCTCATTTGTTTTCAGTAGTGTATTTCATTCAAAATAAACCCCATAGTGTTACAGTCATGATAATAATAACAATAGTTGTGATCATGATCCCCAGTATGAAATCATCAGCCATTTGTTTTGAACAATAGCACCATCGAATGTTTGGAATTATTTGAAAGTTTATATGGAGTTTAAGTACTTCACTCGATAGATTATCTTTGAGTTTGATTTTCCATTGCTGTAATTTTTATTTTTAATGTCCATGCATATACCTTTGGCTTTTCAATCTTTTCTCTGCCAAATTCCTTTGATCATACGAATTTAGTTTCTAGTGGTTATTATGTGAAGAGGCAGGATGGATCTGATGCCACTTGTTGGTCTTCCTCAACGACTGCATCTTTGGAAGCCTTTTGGCTACCACGGAAAGTCAGGGATGCTGTGTCTCTGTCTCCTTGACACAATGGATAAAACCATGATTGCTGAGATTTATGGCATTATAAGCTTTAGGGAGAAGTTTTAACTTGTCAACAACAAACCATAATAACAGTGTTTGACTGTATAAAGTTAGGGTTATTTTGACTACATACTAATTTAATGTGCTAAAAATATTTCTCCAGCTAAAGAAAGGAAAAGAAACCAGTACTCATGTTTGGTATGCATGGTTTTGTGAGTGGGCATGTGTTTTAGGAATCTGAATTTGATTTGGGAGTTAGAAGTTGTAAATTCTAAGTTGAGTACTCCCATTGATATTCTGAGACCAAGGACCTCAGTCTCCTGTCTAAATTTAGTCCATTCATAACTTTCAGCATTTAACTATGAGTGTTTCCCTTTCACAGAGATTTCTTTTCTATCCATTATAAGGATTATAGACATTTATGATCTAGCAAGAATTGAACTGAAAGAGAAGTGCTTAAAAAGCGACTGATAGCAGCCAAAGATGTATTATTAAAATGGGATATTAGAGCAAGATTTGAAAGAAATGAATTTAAACCGTTTTAATAGGTTGCATTCCTCAAATGATGCTCTTATATTAGAGGACAAAGTATCTGCCTCATAGTCCCAAGGTACAGCCACATGCCCCAGACTTTATTATCTCTGTCTTACTTGAGCTAGCCTAGAAAGCAGTAGACGGAAGAAATTCAGCCACTTGCTCATAAGACAGATGTTGGAATATAGCAGATTTTCTTTAAAGAGGGAAACAAGAGTAAGAGAAATGAAGACAGTGCTTTGGTACAAACATTTTGTTGTAATCTCTTATTCTTATTTTAATCTTATAGAGAATGTCTGAATGTATCCAGATCTCATTTGCTGTTTGTAGAATTGGGATTTACACGGTAAGCAATGTATATTTTTGTGGTACCACATGTCATGAAAAATAAGTGAAGACCCTATTGTTGGAAATCATGTGGAGTGATGGCAATTGTCCTCCACTGCTGATGGGGTATAAATTTATACAACCACTTTGGAAGGTCATAAAGCTGAACATGAGCATATCTTGTGACTGAGCAATTCTACTTGTAGGTATATAGCTCAGAGAAACTGTTGTGTAATTACCAGAAGACCTATGTAGGAAAGGTTCCTAGTAGAGATATTCATAAAAGCAAAATGTTAGATGCAATATGAATATCCATCAATAATAGAATGGATTAAGTAATTAGGGAGTTTTAATTTCATGGATTATAATACAGCAACAAAAACATATGAAAAAATGATTGTATGAATTATAGCTCATAATAACACACCATGGATGTATCTCACCAACAATGTTGAATGTAAGAAACAAGTCACAGGAAAATACATGGAGTATAATTTCATTTCTATGAAGTTCAAATACAGCAGAATTAAGCAATACATTGTTTTAGGGTTATAGCTGTTGATAAACTATAAATAAAAGCAAAAATTCAGAGTGTGATTACCTCACAGGTAGTGGCAGTAGTCGTCAACAAGGGGTGACTTTGCCCTCCAGGGGATGTATGGCAATGTTTGGAGACACTTCTGGTTGTCACAACTGACTGTAGTGGTGGTGGTGGCATGCTACTGTCATCTTGTGGGTTGAGGCCAGGGTTGTTGCTAAACATTCAAAATGTGCTGGTTAAGAATTATCTGGCCCAAAATGTCAATAATGTGAGGTTGAGAACTGTTGTAAAGCAGTGGAGGGAAGGAAAAGTACTTTAAAAATCATAGTAGGTCAGGTGCGGTGGCTCACGTCTGTAATCCCAGCACTTTGGGAGGCCAAGCCTGGTGGATCACCAGAGGTCAGGAGTTCAGGACCAGCCTGGCCAACATGGTGAAACCCATCTCTACCAAAAATACAAAAATTAGCTGGGCATGGTGCCGGGCACCTGTAATCCCAGCTACTTGGGAGGCTGAGGCAGGAGAATCTCTTGAACTCTAGGAGGCAGAGGTTGTGGTGAGCTAAGGTTGTGCCACTGCACTTCAGCCTGAGTGACAAGAGCAAAACTCTGTCTCCAAAAAAAAAAGTTATAGTAATATTCTAGTTTTTAACTTGAATGATGAGTACACAGTGTTTTCTTTATGTTATTCCTTAAACTACGTATTTATATACTTTTTGTATGTAGATATTTCACAATACAACAAAAAAAATGAGTATGTTAAGATGTTTGGGGTTTTGTGTTTTTTTTTCTTCACCAGCCTGTGTCAGTTGACCCAAATGCCTTGAATTCATCTCTTAACTTGGGATTTTGGAGATGTATTTATGTAGATGAGCATGAGGAACTTTTCTAATCAGATTAAGTGATAAAATGTCTTGAAATTTCCCCTTCAGAGGCCTAGGGAGGGGATTCAAAGACTGTAGACAGGAAATATAGTGATGTTTACTTTTAAAGACCAAATTATTAAAAAAAAAAAAAAAAAAGACCAAATTATTTTCTAAATAAGGACTTAAAAAGATTTACATGAATTAATTTCGTTTTGTCATCTACTTTGCACAGAAGAACATGTATACGTGTGTACAAAATGCTTAAGGAATTTGTTTAAAATGAATGATGTAAAAAATTCTGAGTAAAAGGTAGGAGGAGTACAGCTTGTAAGTTCCTCGAGGGCAGGAACTCTATCCTGAGTTTGTCTTTATAGCCTTTATAGTACCTTGCACAACATCTGGCACTTGGCAAATGCTCAATAGCTGTATGTCTCATTATATTAAATTATAGTGAGAATAATTTTCTGTTTTGGCTTTGTTTGAATGCAAGAAAAACCAGATTTTCTTTATTTCTTCTATCACCTTTTGTTTTAGCTGTCTCAGATGAGTATTTGTCCCCAGGTAGACAAATAGGTTACTTGGAAGCTAAACATGTCTTTTAGTTATTTTATGTGAAGTTAATTTCTGAGTCAGTTTTCCCAGATCTTCTGAGAAGCAGTTTCCAAATTGGGATTTGGCATGCAAATTGGGGAATGTCTTTGAAGTGGAAAGAGGGAGGAAACCACAAAAGGTAGAGAGAGCCTTTAGACCATGCTGTGAGTCTGACGTTTGTGAAGAAAGAGTGTGAAGGAAGGAGGGTTGGGGAGGAATTTTACACTGCCATGTAGTTCTGAGAAGTCTTGATTGGATGGATGGGTCTTCCCTAAGCAAAGTTGCCTGTTGCTGGAGTTTCACACTGCCCAACAACAGCGTGATTCCAGTACCTCTGCATGCTTGGGAGCTGGCTGGCAGCCCAGCAGAAAGATAGTGTCTGCATGAATGCCCTGATGGACCTGAAGCTGTGGCAGCTGGAGGCTGTCAGTTGTGCTTCTCTAGAAAGGGAGCACTGACTGGCATATTTCCATGGCTGCTGCAGTTAGCCAGCACAACCAAGTATTTCCATCTAGAACTTGGGAATATTGAGACTGCTGATATCAGGAATTGTATGTATTTCTCCATGAATACCTAGCACTTAGTCGGGACCTGAGATTTCACAGGTGTTCAGTCTCTGTCCCTGCTTATTTAATGAAGAAAGGCTGGTCATGAATTCATTCCAAGGCAGATAAAAATTGTCCCTAAAAGGAGAGAGTGTGACAGTCTTAACTGTGTCCCACACAAAATTTATATGTTGAAGCTTTGACTCCTAATGTGATGACGTTTGGGGATGGGGCCTTTGGGAGATACTTAGGTTTAGATAATTAGGTTGTAAGGGTGGGACTCTCCTGATGGGATTAGTGCTCTTAAAAGAAGAGACTCCAGGGCTTGCTTTCTCTCTCTCTCTCTGTCTACCATATAAGGACATAAGAAGGTGGCCATCTTTAAGCCAGGAAGAGAGCCCTCAACAGAAACTGACCATGCCAGCACCCTGATCTGGGACTTCCAGCCTGCAGACCTGTGAGAAAATAAATTTCTGTTGTTTAAGCCACACAGTCTATGGTATTTTATTTTGGCAGACTAATACAGGGAGAAAAAAAAAGCCTTGTAAATTGCAGATAACACAAACATACTAGGAAAAAAAAAACAAAAACAAACTCTTATTAGCTCCTGTTGGAAATAAATGCTGAGTTATGAGTAAAACAAAAAGAAGGAACTCTAAACAGATTATGGTTTAGCTTATGGGCTGAGGATGAGCAACAGTGTTAGATTGTCGCGCTTGAATCGTTTTTCTATGTGCTTTTAATGTTATTGCCAAACAGCAGCTAGTTAAACACTTAAAAGTTAAGGAGCAAAAAGCCATATATTTTCATATGAGGAATCCATAAGCTGAAGTGAGCAGGACCAAATTGTAACATATATAGGATAGAGACCCTGAAAGCTTCCAAGGTTAAGTGTGTGATATACAGGTGAATCTGTCCTACCATTAAAAGGTTTGATAAAGAGCATTACTCAGAGACAACAAAAGGTATCTGGTGCTTGCTGTCCACCTTTCCCGCTGAGGTTTGAAGTAGGCAGATCTTTCTCCAGACCCTGAAAAGCAGTGATGCTTATTTAAAGGGCCTTACCTTAGGAAGATGTGGCAGGAAACTTAAGGTATAGGTAGAAAAACATAGACATTATCAGTGGTGGAGATATGAAGGCTTCCAAAGCCCAGAACAAATTGAGACAGAGGGAAGCAGGTAAACAAATTAAACAAACAGCATCATCCTTAAAACCAAGTATCTGCTCCAAGGAGATAACTCTATACTTCCTATGAGCATAGCCCAGGAGATAGTGTTATTCTCCTAATGTAACATAGGGATGTATCACAAAGAAGCAATTTAGTTTCTGAAACAAAAGGAGTCCTGTTATGTGGATCTATTTTGGGTCTTAAGCAACATTCATTTGGTTCTGGTCAGGAGGAAGGAGGGGACGTAAATTTAGGCCAAGAGTTTATAGTACAATTGTGGTTCTATGATTTTTTGAAATCCTGGCAACGAAAACAGGCCATGCTTAAGAATGTGATCTTGAAGTGAACCTTCTACAGTTAGGCATGGATGGGCTCTGGGCCAGAGAGACACACAAGCGCATTGCTTTGGAATTCTCTTAGGAATGGCAGGGTAAGCATTTTCCAAAGGTGTTGTGCTGAGACCTCTCTGAGTTGGGAACTATAATGCAACCATCATGGAACCAGAAGCACGACGGGGAACAACTAGCTGGTGCTAACAAGAGGCAGGTTAAGGGAGCAGTGATAATTTTAGCTTTTAGTGACCTTCCTGTAGGTTGTGAACCCCTTTGACCAACATTGAACACAGGAGGCCCAGATGAATGAAGTCAGGGTCAGTGAATCTTGCCCTTCTCCAGGAATGGTACTGTTTAAAGCACATTAAAGCCACAGGGGTGATTGTTTGCTTTTCTGTACCCAATAGCTGCATGAACTAAAATGGAAACAAGTGATAGATATTTGAACTAAGTAATACCAGGAGAATATCGTGCATGGTTACAGATTTTGGTCATCAATAAGAGCTTTAAAAACTCTTTAAATTCTTCTTTGGCCTTTGCAGAAATTATTAAATGCTGTTTTACTAGCAGAGAAAGAATTAATCCTTCAAAACAATAACAGTAAAAATGGCATTCAGTTTCACCTTGAGATGAAGAGTCACTCGCTTGTGGGTGGAAATCATCCTTTTAACTAGTTAATAAGATTTGCTTGTACCTACTCATTATTCAATTTCCATGATTTCTTTTTTGCTGGGGGAGGGAGGCAGGGAGAGCTACCTTTGTGATTACAATACAAAGGCAAAACAATGTGTGTTATTAGTATTACTACTGACAATATTAGTAACAATATTATTAATAAGATTGTATATTTTCATTTAGCTCTTTAGGTCTGGACAAATCCTACGATAATTCAGTTGGGTTATTACAATATACAACACTACATGTAAGGACTCTGTATTAGTTTCCCTTGGATGCTGTAACAAATTATCACAAACTTTG